CTGCCACAGGAGGTGGTGGCGGCTACAATCATGGACGGCTTCAAGAGGGAATTAGATAAGCATATGGAGCAGAGGTCCATCGGTGGCTATTAGCCACAAGGTATAGATAGGGATTCTGGGGCAAGGGATGCTCTACATTCTTGGTGCCGGGGGGGGGGCAAGAGTGGGAGGTTCTTCTAGTGTCCTGGCCCCACTGCTGGACCTCCTGATGGCATCTGGTATTTTTGGCCACTGTGTGACAGAGTGTTGGACTGGATGGGCCACTGGCCTGATCCAACATTGGCTTCTCTTATGTTCTTATGTTAACAATATTCATGACAAAAATAATAAAGTCAATGAAGATATGTGGCAAGATCATTTACTGTAGGAATTCTGTAGAAAATTCTCTTCTATTATCGCTCACACGCTAACGAATGCTGTGCAATGTAAACAATTCGTTTCACAACATTTGCTTTATCTGAGCGTGTAGAAATCACAATTCTTATCAATTACTACTTATTGATTCTTGAAGGAAACATTCCATGTTGACCCTCTAAGAACAGAACCCAAGGTCTTCATTAGCATTCGTTAGCGTGTGAGCGATAATAGAAGATAATTTTCTACAGAATCACTACAGTAAATGATTTTGCAACATATCTTTACTGACTCTTCATTATTTTGGTCACGGATGTTGTTGGATTCCCTTCACATCTGGACATATGTGTTTATGGCCTGAACGGGAGTGGTGGTGGTGGCAGCCCCCGCGTCTCTCTGACCACCCCAGACACGTTTGCTGCAGCCAAGATAACGTGTGCTGATGGAAGCAGATTGGCTCCATTGCACCAATGTGTGTAGTTTTGACCTTTTCTTCAGAACCCAGTATTTGATTTTTTACAATAATGTTGGCATTAATTAAATGAGGAAACGAAAGGTGGCTGAAATCCAGCCCGTAGGGATGGCCATGAGTCTGTTTGAGAGCCAGTTGGGTGCAGCGGTTAAGAGCAGTGGACTCTGATCTGGAGAGCCGGGTTTGATTCCCCGCTCCTCTTCTACATGCAGCCAGCTGGGTGACCTTGGGTCAGTCACAGTTCTCTCAGCCCCACCTTCCTCACAGGGTGTCTGTTGTGAGGAGAGGAAAGGAAAGCAGATTGTAAGCCATTCAGAGACTCCTTTGGGTAGTGAAGGGCCATGGGGTATAAAACCAACTCTTCTTCTGGGCACTTGCCTGGGTAGGTTAGAGACTCGTTTGTGGTGTAATGGAAACAGAGATTCTCTGGTGTTCGCATTCAGCACAATATTCCGGGGGACGAGAACTAGTTCTGGGTATGAAGACAGTTTTGGAGTTGGGCAGTGATGGGGGGAGATTTTAGAAGGCAAGCCGTGGGGCGAACTGGGGGTGGGCTGGGGTAGACGGAGCCCTCTGGATTGGGTGGGCTTTCCTAACCTTCGGGGGGGGTGTTGTTTTGCAGTACAAAGCCACGGATTTCGTTGTGGACAGGCCCGGGGCGTTTAAGATGATCTTCACCCCCAAGGACGGCAGCGGGCCCAAGGAGTGGGAGGTGTACAACTTCCCCGGCGGGGGTGTCGGCATGGGGATGTACAACACCGACGAGGTGAGGTCGCCCCTGGTGAAGCGCCCGGCCTTCCTTCGGGGGTGGGGGGCCTCGCCTTAGGGGCTGGCCCTCCCCCGTTCGGAAGCCCAGCAGAGGAATCGTGCCCCCGAGGCCCTCCCTCTGCTCTGTCAGGAGGCTTCCTGGGGGGCCGGGGGGCCCCCGCCTGGCTTCCCGAGCGTCCGGCACTGAGGGCCTCCGTCTGCCCCTCGCAGTCCATTTCAGGCTTCGCCCACAGCTGCTTCCAGTACGCCATCCAGAAGAAGTGGCCGCTCTACCTGAGCACCAAGAACACCATCCTCAAGGCCTACGATGGGCGCTTCAAGGACATCTTCCAGGAGATCTTTGACAAGTGAGCGGTTCTGGACCCCTCCCCCCGCCCCGGCCTGCCCTTCCCTCGGAGCCTCCCAGTCTTTATGCGAAACCTCTGCGTCCCACCTTTTCCCCAAGGGGCCCGAGGCGGGTTACAATACAAGCGGAACTAAGAGAGGCAAAACCTCCAGCTGCCGCTCTTGTGACTGCAAAACCCTCTCCCCTCCTCCCCTCCCCGGCCAGGCACTACAAGACTGACTTTGACAAGCTCCGGATCTGGTACGAGCACCGGCTGATCGATGACATGGTGGCCCAGGTGCTGAAGTCGGTGGGGGGCTTTGTCTGGGCTTGCAAGAACTACGACGGGGACGTCCAGTCCGACATTTTGGCTCAAGGTGCGATTCTGGAAGGGTGCCCCTGGCAGGAGGGGGTGAGTGGGTGGGGGAGCTGTGGCCTGGGCACGTGGCTTCCTGGATTCCCCAACAATGAACAGGCGTGGAGTGAGTAAGCCCAGCATCTCTGAGGGCCTGTGAGGGGAAGGATTTTCCGGTGTGTTTGCACCACGCGATGCAGGAAACTTTCCTCCCTCCCTCCCACCCACCCCCAGCGTGGCCCTTTCCCGCAGCATCCCAGGAGATGGAGCCCCGTATTGTGTTCCTCTTGGAGATTCCTGGGAGGGGCCGTGGCTCAGTGGCAGAGCATCTGCTTGGTATGCAGAAGGTCCCAGGCTCAGTCCCCAGCAGTACGAGATGTGAAAGACCTCAGCCTGAGACCCTGGAGAACTGCTCCCTGTCTGAGTAGACAAGAGTGACGTTGATGGTCCAGTTCAGTAGAAGGCAGCTGGTGTTCAGTCTCCCTCAGTTAAGAACCTCAGAAGGGCGCTGCTGGATCAGACCAGTGAGGGTCCACCTAGTCCAGCCTCCTCTGTCTCACACAGGGGCCAGCTGGTTTCTCTGGAGGGCCAGCAACAGGGCAGAGAGACCGAGGCCTTCCCCTGATAAGAGCATCAGAAGAGCCCTGCTGGGTCAGACCAGGGAGGGTCCACCTAGTCCAGCCTCCTCTGTCTCACACAGTGGCCAACCAGTTCCTCTGGACGGCCAACAACAGGGCAGAGAGGCCGAGGCCTTCCCCCTGATGTTGCCTCTAAGCTCTGGAGTCTTGTGAGCAAGAATTCTACTTTGCGAGCTACTGGCATTAACGTTGTGAGCGAGCGATCTGGCTCCTGCATGAATCAGTTTGCTCTGGAGCCCCATCCTTCCTGAGCTAAGACAAAAATGTGTGAGCCGGAGGCTAAAATACCGGTGAGCTAGTCCACACTAATTCATCTCAGAGGGAGCACTGCTTCTGGCTCTGGGATTCAGAGGTGTGGTGCCCCTGGATGTGGAGGCTCCCCTCAGTCGCCACTGGCAAACCTATCCGCCATGAGTTCTGGCATGGCTGCCTCGCCGTGACCAGTTCTGGAGAGCGAATGTGACTTTGTGGGCCCCACGTCAGTCGCTTTCCAGAATGGGCGTGCGTGTGTCTGTTGGGGAGGGTTTAATCCCTTGATGGGGCGCTCCCTTTTGGGTGTGGGCTGGGCCGGGGGGCTCTTTGCCATGAGAGGTGGGGGGGGGGAGGTTGCAGGGTCCTCCAAGAGGAATCTGGCTCTCTTCCTAGGCTTCGGCTCGCTGGGCTTGATGACTTCTGTCCTCGTCTGCCCGGACGGAAAGACCATCGAAGCAGAGGCGGCTCACGGCACGGTCACGCGCCATTACCGGGAGCACCAGAAGGTGAGGGAGCCAAAGGGGAGTGCCAGGCGGGAGGGGAGGAGCTTGTGCTGCACCTTGTGGCCAAGTGCGAGACTGGTCGGCCTGGGGGAGATGTTGCCCAGGCACTCAGGGCTGGTTCTCCCTCTCCCCTCCCCGTGTCTTACGCGCAGGGCAACCCCACCAGCACCAACCCCATTGCCAGCATCTTCGCCTGGACCCGCGGCCTGGAGCACAGAGGCAAACTGGACAGCAATCCTGATCTCATCAAGTAAGGGCAGGCCGGGCCCAGCAGAGGGCAGGACTGCTGCCGGAAAAGGGGGGGGGGGTGCAGCACCAGGCCTGGGGAAGTGCCGGGACACAGGCGGGCCGTGCAAGTGACCCTACATGCCATAGTGGGGCAGCCACATGTCTGAACAGTGTGATTCTGTGCACACCCAGAGAGAAGGTCCAACACCAGCAGAGCAGAAGAGCGGGGCGGGCTGGCTGGCTGGCTGGCTTTCTGGGGGAGGCAGGCCTGGCCAGTCGCTGAGAGCAGCTCTTCCCCCTCCGTGTGTGGGAACAGCCCTTTCCACCCCTGCTCCTTTCTTTCCACCCCGCTTGCCCACCAGGTTTGCCCAGACCTTGGAGAAGGTCTGTGTTCAGACGGTGGAGTCGGGGACCATGACCAAGGACTTGGCCGGCTGTATCCACGGACTGAGCAAGTAAGTCTTGTGGGGGGGGAACACTGGGGGGCCCCCTCCTCTGCGGGGCTCGGGGCAGAGGAGTGCTTCTCCCCTGCAGCCTCCTCCCTGACAAAGCCTCCCCCTCCCTTTTGCGCACCCCCAGTGTGAAGCTGAACGAGCACTTTGTGAACACCACGGACTTCCTGGACGCCATCAAGAACAACCTGGACAAAGCCCTCGGCAAGCAGTAGGGGGCGCACTCCGAGGGTTTGCATGGGGGGGGCCGTGACAGAGGAAGTCCATTTACCTCATTTTTAATAGAACAAAAGCTCTGGCTGCTCTTACCTTCGACCAGGAAAACCTTTTTGGTCGTTTTTAAAGATCCCTTGTAGCTGTCCCAAGGACCCCCCCCCCGCCTCTTACTTCTGCGGACAAGGAAAGGTGGGGGGCCCCTCAGGCTGCCCCTCCTTGCTGGACAGTGACGAAGGTGATGGTTTTGTGCTGTAATTTATGTATTGTCATTTGGGCCCTGTGGTAGCAATTAAAAACTAGTTTATCACACCCTTCTTGTTTCCTGCAACGCGCCCCCCCCCCAGCCACTTGCAGAAGCCAAAGAATATTCATTTATTGCTGAACTTCTTCAGAACAGGAAAATAAACACAGTAGATCTATGCACACGGTGGGGTGGGGGGGGGAGAGACACAGACCGCTCTGTGGAGATGACACTGTGATCTAACTGGCTGGCCTGCAACCTCAGCTGCTCTGCCAGGAAAGGGGTGGGGGGGGGCAGGGGGCGCGCACTCACTCCACAAGTCTTTGGGGCAAGCCCCCTGCCCTAGTACAATAATTTTTTTCTTTTTGGTGTGGGGCAGAGGTAGTTTATAAGGGAGAGCTCCATGCCCCGACCCAGAGGCTGGAGGGTGTGTGTGTCTCGGCAGTTCTGGAGCCCGTATGGCGGACCACGTCTGCCTCGGACCCTTCCTGTAGGCTGCAGGAGGTAGCGGGACAAAGGCCCTCTCCTGCTGGAGAACAGAGCCTGGCAGAGGGGGCGCCCAGGGGCCATGCCCCAGCTCCGGTGCAGGCAGAAACTAGGCGGGCAGAGCGCCCTCTCTGCCACTCGGGAGCTCTCCCTGCTCAACGAAGCCTTCACCGGGGGCGGGGGCACTGGTGACTCCTTCCAGGCCCAGCCCCACGCACGCACGCACGCACGCACCCGCTACAGCATGCGGTAATAGGCCATCTCCTTCATGGCCTGCTCCGCCAGGGCCGACTCATTCGTGGGGTTCCCCCCGACCCCGTACTCATACGGATTCTCCTCGTCCTCGTAGTCCTCCATCTCCTGCGGCCCGTCCAGGTCTGTGTGGTCACCACTGGTCAGCTCCAGCATGGGGTCTGCAGCAGGGGTGGGGGAGAGGGTAAGCAAGGGGCCGCAACTGGCCGCGGAGTCCCAGTGGAGCCATACAAGCCCCGGGATGGCCTGCAGGGGGAGCCACCGCACTGCAGCTCCACCCTGCAAGGCTCTCCGGGGGGGGGGGGCTCTCCTCCCTCCCTCCCAGCACCCACCTTGGCTGTCCAGGCTGACGTCCATCACCCCGTGCTTGACCTTCATGTGACGGCTGAGGTTGCCCTTCAGGTTGAACTTGCTGGAGCAGTAAGGGCACTTGAAGGGCTTGCTGCCCGCGTGGAGGTGCATGTGGCCCAGGAGGTTATACATACGGTTGAAAGATTTCCCGCACACCTGCGGGGGGGGGGGGGGGGGGGGGGGGGGGAGAAGAAGCAGACAGGAGCCTAGGCTTGCCTCTGAAGTGCGAGGGACTTCAGACCAGCAAGTGCCTCTGCTGACGACCCCCCCCCCCAGCTCCCCCAGTATTGGTCTGAGTTCAAATTCCAGCCCAGCCACCAGGACAAGCCGTGACGAGAATCCAAGGACATGGGCTACAGGGGGCACACATCGTTCATCGTTGGGGGGCTTGTGCTGGCTTCCAGAGGCAAGCCGATCTCACCCCAAGTGGTCCCTGGCCCAGTGTTCCCTCTAAGCTGAGTTAGTGTGAGCTAGCTCGCAGTATTTTAGCCTCCGGCGCACACGTTTTTGTCTTAGCTCGGGAAGGAGGGCTCCAGAGCAAACTAATTTATGCAGTAGCCAAACTGCTCGCTCACAACTTTAATGCCAGTAGCTCACAAAGAGAGCCAGTTTGGTGTAGTGGTTAAGTGCACGGACTCTTTAATCTGGGAGAACGGGGTTTGATTCCCCCACTCCTCCACTTGCACCTGCTGGATGACCTTGGGCAAGCCGTAGTTCTGAGAAGAGCTGTCCTTGAAAAAGTGCAGTTTCTGTCAGAGCTCTCTCAGCCCCACCGACCTCACAGGGGGTGTCTGTCTGTTGTGGGGAGGGGAAGGGAAAGGAGTTTGTAAGCTGCTCTGAGACACCTGTGGGTAGTGAAGGGCGGGGTGTAAATCCAATCTTCTTCACAAAGTAGAATTTTTGCTCACGACTCCACAGCTGAGAGGGAGCCTTGGTCCCTGGCACCTCCATACCCAGCCCTGGCCAGCGTGGGCAATGCTCCCTCTAAGCTGTGGAGTCCTGTGAGCAAAAAATCGTACTTTGGGGGCTACTGGCACTAAAGCTGTGAGCGAGCCATTTGGCTGCTGCATAAATCAGCTTGCTCTGGAGCCACCCTTCCCGAGCGGAGACAAAAATGTGTGAGCCGGCGGCTAAAAAACCGTGAGCCTGGTCACACTAACTCAGCTTAGAGGGGACACTCTGTATCTCTTCCCCCCCGCCGCCGCCTTGTCTTCTGCCCCCCGGCGGCCAGCCCCACCTTGCACTTGAAGGGCTTGACGGGCGAGTGCACAATCATGTGGGTCTTGAGGGTCTGCTTCTGCACGAAGGTCTTGAAGCAGATGTGGCACTGGTAGGGGCGCACGCTGGTGTGGATCAGCATGTGCCGCTTCATGTTCGCCTGCAGCGTGAACTCCCGGCCGCACACTTCGCACTTGAACTCCTTCACGCCCTGCAAGCAGTGGGAGAGACCGAAGCTGGGCACCAAGATAGCCAAGGCCTCCTGCCCAAGGGGACCAATGCCCACGGCAGGGAGAGGGCGGGAGCCCTGCAGCTGTCTCCCCTCCACGGGAGGCGCACGGCACCACGGGCAGGTCAGAGAGGGTGGGGGCCCCCGGCTCTTCCGTAGCCAAATGGCCGACTGTGCCTGGGGTGAGGAGCCCCGGTTTCAGGAGCCGGCAGGGAGAGCCGCTGCCCCTTTGGGGAATGACAGCCCCGGTGACGGTTGGGCTTCTCTCGGGCTCCCGTGGCAGCCGCACCACGCACACAAAAACCCCGCCCTCCAGCCCTTCTCTGGGGCAGCCAAACATACCTCGGGCCCTCAGCGAGCCATCCTCTGGCCTCCCCTGGACACAAGGAACAAGGCGTGCCGTTTGCCCCGACCGACCTCCCTCGGCCCACTGTGTGTCCCCGCCGGCCCCGCCCCGCACGCAGCCGCCCCCTTTTGGCCCCCCCCCAGGCTCCTTAGGTGCCTCCCCACCCCCTCCCCGGCAGCCTACCTTGTGGGTCAGCGAGTGCTGCTTGAGGTGGTGGATCTGGCTGAACTCCATGCCGCACTCGGTGCAGACGAAGGGGCGGACGTTCTGGTGCTTGAGCATGTGGTTCTGGAGCTGGCTGCGGTAGTGGAAGGCCTTGCTGCACTCGGGGCAGGGGTAGAGGGTGGGCCCCTGGTGGGTGGCCAGGTGGCGCTTGAGCTGGGGGAGGGTGGAGAAGTCCAGGCCGCACTCCACGCAGACGTGGCAGCGCCCGCTCTCGTGCTTGCCCTCGTGGGCCTTCAGCTCGCTGGGGTAGGCGAAGCCCCGCCCGCAGAAGCGGCAGCTGTAGGGCTTGACGTCGGAGTGGAGCAGCATGTGGCGCTTGAGGTGGCTGGTCTGGGTGAAGGCCTTCTGGCACACCTGGCACTTGTGGGGCCGGGTGCCCTGGTGGGTGAGCAGGTGTGTCTGCAGGTGGCTGGGCTGCTTGAAGAGCTTGCCACAGTGCGGGCAGGAGTGGGGCTTCACCCCGTTGTGGCCCAGGATGTGGGTCACCAGGTTGTACTTGGAGGTGTAGGACTTCTCGCACAGGCGGCACTGCCAGCGCTTCTCCACCAGGTAGGAGTCGTCGATCTGCACATTGATGTCCAGGCGGTCCAGCTGGGCCTTCTTGCTCTGCTCGCCCGGGGCCTCCGCCTCGAAGTCCAGGGGCTCTGGCCACACAAAGGCCGCCCGGCTCTGGTCCGGCGAGTCCGGCAGGGGGGGCTGCTCCGCGGGGTGGCTTGGGGCCGGCAGGGGAGCCGGGAAGCCGTCGTAGCTGCCGGGCAGGGCCTCCGCACTCTCGGGGGCACTGGCCGGTGGGGGGCTGGGGGGCCCCTCCTTGAGGTCCCCAGGGGAGAGTTCGTGGCGCGGGGGCCTCCGGAGGCGCCGCGGCTTCCGGCTGAAGGTGCTGAGGTCAATCATCCTGGGGGTGCTGCTCTGGACGGCCTGGTCGGGGCCGGGCTCTTCCACACAGGCCGGGGGGCTGCGGGGCTCCTCCTCCCTCTCCTCGCTCAGGGCCGCCAGCTCGGGCTCCGCCTCGTCCGGCTCCCCCTCGCCCCTCTCGTGCTTCACTTTGGGCACCAGCCTCACCGGGGGCCGCTTCCTCCGCCGGGCGTGCTTCCCAAAGAGCGCCTCGGCCTCCGGGCCCTCCTCCTCCGGCGAGTCGGCCTGGCCTCGGCCCTCGCTCTCCTGGGGACAGCCCCCGCCCGGCTGCTCCCGCCCCACCATCGCCGTGTCTTCCGGCTCATTGGCGAGGCCCGGGAAGAACCCGCCGGGACTGACGGTGGCCCCAAACACCTCGTTCTCCGACACCAAGCCCAGGACCGCGGCCTGGGCCAGAGACAAGACCACGACGGCCTCCGTCTGCGTTCCAGAGTCAGCAAAGCGGTCCATGTCGCACACCATCAAGCACGGCGGCCGGTTCTGCAGAAACGAGGGAGGGAAGCCGTCAGCCCGTCTGCCAGAGGCGCCTCCTGGGCCACCGTAGGCCCCTAGAACCCCCTCCCCTCAATGGGCAGCTCTACATTTGGGGGGGGGGCTTCAAAGAAGTCATTGTAAAACCAGCAGCGAACTCCTGTAACCCCAAAAGCATCAGCCACCTCAGGCCTTTCTAAGGCCAACCGAAATACCTCAAATCAGGAGCAAGCTTCGAGCCCCACAGAACTCCCCTCTGGACTGAGCCCAGAGGGAACCCCTTCAGGGAAACCCTCGGCGCAGGCAGGCCCGGGAATCCCCGGGCACCATACCATCTTTGGGCTGATAATGTCAGGAATGGCCTTTACATTCAGGAGCTTTTATCCCAAAGGCAATATCCCGTTTCCTCTGATCTCCTCCGAGTGCCCTATTGTCAAGTCATTCATGATGAGTTTACACAGGATCACCTGAATTAGCGTGGTCTTCTTGACGAAGGGGAAATCTTGGGTGGCAGAGCTGGGCATGGGGGTGTTGGTGGTGTTGAAGCACCAACCCCACACACCCTCTGCCCCCCCAGCCCCTGACAAGCCAGCAAAGACCTATCCTACAAAGAAACGCCTCCTCCTACAAATGGGAAAACATCCTGGCCCCACTAGGGCTGCATCCTCGCTCCTGGGAGAAACTGCTGCCCTACCAGAACCTCTGCTTTCCCCATCAGGTTTACATTTATTTATTTGTTCGATTTATATCCCGCCGTCCCTGCAAGCGGGCTCGTGGTGGGTAACGACAGAATTTTTAAAAAACCATTAAAACAAATTACCCCACAACAAATTGCTGGAAAGATGGCAAAATTATACAAATTTTTGGCCTTGGGAAGGTCTTTTAAAACCAGTTATTCACGCTTCAGGTAAAGGACTCAACAAAACAGAAAACTTTCAGTGATCAGTGAGTGAGCCAGCCAGCCAGCCCACAGCTCTAGGTGAGAAAAAGGGATACCTGCCAACATAGACCCTAAGTGCTGGATCCCGGGAGCAGCCCCCACCCCCACCAGTCACCACACCAACAACGCCCCTGGGCAATGCGCCCTCTAAGCTGTGGGGTCTTGTGAGCACAAATTCCACTTTGTGAGCAATGGGCCTTGAAGTGAGCGAGCGATTTAGCTCCTGCATCAATTAGTTTGCTTTTGAGCCGTCCTTCCTGAGCTAAGATGAAAATGTATGAGCCGGAGGCTAAAAAACTGTGAGCTAGCTCACACTCACTCAGCTTAGAGGGAACACTGCTCCTGGGTCAACCCCACATGGGATCCGGCAGGCCTCCCCAGTGTCTCCCGGACACCAAGCACCTTCTGCAGCACGGGGGGGGGGGATGGCCTGCCCTGTAGGTGCCCCCCCAGCTCTACCTGCTCCTGGGGACCCCCCTGGAGGGAAGGGAGCCCCACCACGCCCAGCCCGCCCCTCAGACAGCTCACCTGGCAGAGGAGAACCACCCGGCCTCTCCTGCACACCCTCCCCCCAGTGGCCAACCAAAGATCAGCCTGGGCCCCAGCAGACCCGCCCCCCCCATATCTTCTCCCCCAAACCTAAAGGCCCAGCACAGCCTGCCCCAAATGGCAGCACCGCTTCAGGGCTTCCGGTTGCGCTTCCTTTGCAACCCCTCCCCCCAAACACTCTGCCATGGAGCCCCCCTCCCCAACCCTCCCCTCCCTCTCCTTCCCTTCCCTGCCTCTCTCATTCTTTCCGTTTCCCTAGCAACCCCTCCCCCCCCCCTCCCTCCTTTGGGTGTTTCTTCTCTCCTCCCTCCCTCTTATCTCCCCCTTTTCTCTCTCATCAACTGCCCCCCCTTTCTCTCTTACTCTAGAGGAAAGCCTCCCCTCCCCTCCCCATTGTCGTCTCCAGGTGGGATCTGTCTGGAAGCGCCTGGGCCACCTCTCACCCCCCCCCACAACCTCCCAGGGCGGTCCCTCCTGCCCAGGTACTGGGGAGGCCCTCTCCTCCTCATCACCTTCTTCACCTGAGGGAGTTCCCGCCCCGACCCTCTGGCCTGGCTGCACAGCACCCTCCCTCACAGCCACGGGCATCCGCAAGGGTCGTCCCCCCCCCCCGGAACAGCAGTGGCGTGCCTGCCCAGTGGGGAACGGGGGGTGGGGGTGCACTCAGCTAAGGCAGCTCCCCTCTTTTGACAACTTTGGCCCATTGTCCAAGGCTGTTTGAGAAGCCCTACTGATCGAGTGCCCTTTCTCCCGGGTGAAAAGGGCCGGTATGTTTACGAAGGGCCAGGAAAGAGATGCTGGGAACGAGGGCGGAGTAGAAGATGGGCGTCTTGTGAAGGGCGCAGCTGTCTGGTACCAGGCAGCCTCAGGGCCAGAGACGGTCACCCAGACGGGGCCATTCAGCGCAAAACTTTGCTCATCCCGAAAAGTCTGCCAAACCCAAGACCTGCTAACCGGCCGAGAAGGACAGAGGAGGGCCCAGGATCGGGGCGCTCTGCCAGACCTTGTCTAATTACTAAATTCTAATTAACAGGAATAAGCAGAACTAGCCAACCCTTTAAGCAGCGCACATCCCAGAGCTGGCTGGGCCCTGCCCAACACAAAAAGCCATCCTTATGACACCAGCCGCCCCCACAGGTGTCCTCAGTTCCACCCCCATACATGTACTGTGACCTCCAAGCCACGCAGAGACAGCCTGAAGAGAGCCCCCCACCCCCCCATGCCTCCTCCCCCTACACACTTGTGGCTGCCCTTGGGGCAGACTCACAAGGGGCCAATGCAATCCGATCAATGGGGAGGATGTCAGAAGTGGCCAAGCCAACAGGCCAAGCAGCGGCCTCCTCTTCCGACTCCGGCCTCCACCTGCACCCAGGAAAACAGAGGCGGAAGCGCCAGGGCCCACTGCAAACCGTCTGGGAGAAGCAGACCCCATTTGGGGGCAAGGATGCAACTTGGGGTGTGTGTGGAGAGATCTGCAAAGTGGATCTCCTCCTCGCAGTTTCTTTAGCCGTGAAAAGCGACGGAACAAGGGGTGGAACGGGTCCAAATTGGATTGGGTGTGGGGAGCCAGTGGGGTGGGGGACGGAGCTCTTCCCCCCTCCCCGGGTAAATGCCCCCGGAACTGCTGTTTGCCTTGAGAGGGAAAAGACCGGGAGAGCAGAGGGGCTTTGCCATCTTGCAGAATTCTGCTCAAAGACAGCTCCGTCTCTGCCTTGAAAAAAGGTCTTCTTTTTTTTTTTTGCTTAAATAAATGGGAAGAAAGGGAGAGAGACTTTCAAGCTCCCCCTTGCACAAACGACTTCTCTTCCTTCATGTTCCCTGTCCGCTCTGAAAATAGAAAAGCTTTAAAAAAAGGGGGGGGGGAGAGGAACTGAATAGAGGAACGAGGAAAGAGAAAGAACTGGAGCCTCAAGGGGGTGGAGAGAGAAAGAAAGAAAAGGGATGAAAAATAAAAGAGCGGGGGAAGGGAGCGAGGGAGAGAAAGAGAGAGGGAGGCAGAGCGGCAGCACTGAAAAGAAGAAAGGACAGAAAGAAAGAAAGAAAGAACGCTCCCAGGCTGTGCCCAGCGAAGGGGGGGGGGACGCGAGGGAGGGGGAGCCCTTGTAAAGGACCAAGCAGCCCCACACAATGACCCCTGGCTTCACAGGGGGTGCCAATCACCCACCCCCCATCCTCAACTCTTTCTTTTTTCTTCCATTCCCCCTCTTTTTCCAGGGAGAGGGGAGGAGGGAGAGGGGGGGAGGGGGATTCTCAAACGGGTAGGAAAATAAATCTGGCCAAAGGAGAGACGGAGCCCTTTTAAAGGACCCTCATCTTAGGACCCACACACACACACACACATAATGACAAAAAAAAAAAAAAAGCCCTACATCTCCTTTAATAGACAGAGCTCATCCACCCATTGTGGGAAAGGCCCTGTCTTCTAAACAGTAGGAAACAACACCTAGGCGAGGCCGGAGTCCTGTGAGCCACATCCCAGCTCAGAGCAGGTTCCTTCCCTTGAAACTTCCCAGCCAGATGGGGGAGGCCTCTGTCCAACCCGCCCCACAAGGACTCCCACAGGCAAGAAGGAAAAAGTCCCACCCACCCCACCCCCCAAAATGGCTCCCACCCACCCATCCAGAAACACTTCTGGCTCACTCAAGGGCTGCTTGGTTCACCAGTGGGGACGGAAGAGTAAGCAGGCCGCTGCCCGGAACCCTTCTTGCACCCCTCCAAGGGCCCAGGGTGAGGCGGGGGCTAGCCTGCACGGGAGGGGGGGGAGCTGGCGCTCAGCCTGGAACAGCTTGCTGCTGAACGCCAGTACTTTGGGGAGAGTGCCAGGAACCCTGGAGTTTGGGGAGCAGGCGGACACCACCTGTGGACGGGGAAGGGAATCAGAACACACACAGAGTTCTATCTAGGACTGCATTTGATCTAGTTTTTTTTAATTGATCTGGTTTGATTTTTTATTGATCTGGTTTTATTATTAATTGGAGTTTATAAATCATTGGCTTTTGACTGGACTACTACAGTGGTTGTTTTATTACGGCTTTTGGTTTATTTTAATAATGTCTTATTTATATTGCAAGCCGCCTTGAGTTCTGCGAGGGAGAGAGACGGCCGGATAATACTTTAAATAAATAAACAGACGTGGACAATCTCACAAATGCTTATCCGTGGAGTTGCCTTTGAGACAACCAGGGATTGTCTTAATCCTTTTAACGTGAAACCACTTATAAAACACTGGACAGTTTACAAATTATTTTACAAAGCTCTGCCTTCACTACAGCACACACACACACACTATTTAGAAGACACTGCTCCGTTATTCCTGAGCCACAGTGGGACATGCCTTCTATTCTAGGCCAGTTTTCGAGGGCTGGGAGGGAAGGACGCCTCCCTCATCCTTCCGCCTCTGTGCTTCAGGGCAGCCCCGGTCTCTGCCCCTCCTGAAGGGGGACAGCCGCCCCTTCCACTCTCTCTGCCCACGCAGATGCTCAAGAGCCAT